ACTGAGAACAACAAGAAAAGTGCTGATTCACTTCAAATGAGTGAAACCTTGTAAGTGCTGGTGCATCAGTTTTACTGGCAACTGCTTAATAGTTCTCAGAACCACTAGTTGGTATTAGTGGTTACTAATTACTAGTAGTACCCTAGCTTGGCTACTTTCGTCCCCCAAATCTTGCCTTGCAGGTTGTAATGGTTCCTCCATAGTCCCGGGGTGTTTCTCAATCTCGAGTAAAGCTGCTCCAGAGCCACTATTTCAAGCATACTACGTCATCGAGTGCCGCCGAAGGACTGTTCCAATGTCCAGCATACTTGGAATTCTACCGAGCCCGGCGTACTTCGTAGCGAGAAATTTCGAGGCTGCACATGTGTAGACTCCGCGGTGTTAAAATCCCCACAATGCTTTGCTTTTAGCTAAGAGAGTGCTTGTGTCCTCTGAGCAACCTTGGCGTGTGAAGGCTGTTTGCATTACTCATGTTATCTTTTTATTCATGGTGTCTCGATTAGCAGGTTCTGTATTGTGTTTGCATATTGCACAATTATAAGCTATGCAATCTGGTTTGTTTGGTAGCGCCAGGAAGCTGGAGTTCTTACCTAGCAACAGTACATTGTTTCCTTAGAAAAGCATTGACCAAAGTGACTAACCTGTTCTGCAGTTGAATCAGTTCAAAAGATTAGTTTGTCATTTCATATTTGTCAGTAAAGCAAACATGGCACCCAGTTCAATCTGCAGACTCCTCCACACTTCAGAAATATAAAACACCTTCATACATCATGTAGGATAAAAGGAATTGTCCATGTTCACCTGTGGAGCCTCTCCTTGATGACTAAGCTGAGCATGCTTCCCTAGCAGGATTGTTCACTCTGCATTGTGCGGCACGAGCCTTTCATGTCTCACTTTCATGTTCTCCATAACATTTCTTCTCTTTGAGTCATCTCTCCGGCTGCGTTTCCTCTGCACTGATTGCTTATCTTCTGATGGAACTACAACTCTCTAATCAGGCTCTCCCCAGCAGAAGTCAGAAGATCCACATTTTCCTTTGCTTCCTGTTTCTGCTTTTTCTATCCTCCCTTCCTCTTTGAGAAGATCCACACATGAAAGGCGTTGTGGAGGGACTGCTTCCTGCAGACAGGGCTGAACAAAACAAAACAAATGTGGTGTGCTATAAAAAGATGGCCACACAAAGTGACTGCATGTCACTCTGAACTGTTGCGTTCTGCACTCACCCGTGCCTTCTCCTTTTCTATTTACGGTAACAGTGACCGGGGCCTGATTACACAACACTGCACTCATTGAGTTTATTTATAACAGTCCTGGAAACATTATGGCAATACGCAGATGGAACACAATGCCTTTTGAATTGCTATGGCATGTCAAAGAGGCCCTACTCTGCTTTTTGAGGTTTGGTATAAGGACCAAACTCTTTAAAGTAGAGACACTACATACTGATTTGAACCTGAACATTAGCAGGAGAGGACTCTTTAAAGTAGAGACACTACATACTGATTTGAACCTGAACATTAGCAGGAGAGGACTCTTTAAAGTAGAGACACTACATACTGATTTGAACCTGAACATCAGCAGGAGAGGACTCTTTAAAGTAGAGACACTACATACCGATATACACCTGAACATCATCAGGAGAGGACTCTTTAAAGTAGAGACACTACATACTGATATACACCTGAACATCAGCAGCAGAGGACTCTTTAAAGTAGAGACACTACATACTGATATACACCTGAACATCAGCAGGAGAGGACTCTTTAAAGTAGAGACACTACATACTGATTTGAACCTGAACATTAGCAGGAGAGGACTCTTTAAAGTAGAGACACTACATACTGATTTGAACCTGAACATTAGCAGGAGAGGACTCTTTAAAGTAGAGACACTACATACTGATTTGAACCTGAACATCAGCAGGAGAGGACTCTTTAAAGTAGAGACACTACATACTGATATGAACCTGAACAGCATAACAGGGCCTCTTTTAACAGACCACTTCTTTTTTTTAATTGTATACATCTGTATTTTAAGAAATAAAACCTGAGCCTGCAGAAGCTTTCACAATAAACTTCTGAGAAACTGTACCCGAAGCTTCCTGTTCCCTACTGAGAAAGGTTTGGGCCAAAGCAAGAAGTGTGTTACAAACATTTTAAAGGAAGTATGTGTGTGTTTTTATGAGAAACACACACAAATGGCAGTAAATGGCAGTAAAAGGAAGTAGGGGCAGGGCGAGTCAGAGGAGCCAGAGCTCCCTCATGGAGCTGGGATGTGTCCGGGCTTGTTCTCAGCCGGTCTGTAAATGATTAGCAGGAAGTGGAGTTACATCCCAGACTACAGGGCTTCAACGCTCCCACACATCAGCGTCTCACACACACTGACAATCAGACATATTATCATAGCTGAGGCTTTTTGTTTAAATACAGATATCCTGCAATGTCAGACTTTCAGTCTTTGTTGTATTTTGGCGCCTATAAGCCTAGTTTATATTTCTGTGCACACTGAAGACAGTAGCATTATTGTGCCATGTCTGCAGACCCAAACAACAACAATCAGTTTGCATATGCATGGGTGTGCCTCAGCTTTGTGTGTACTTCTTAATAAATAACCCTTGTAGGTGATGTCACTTTTGGGAACTACCCAGCAGAGGAAGAGGAAGCGTAGAAGAGGAGTCATTGAAACTCACTAAACCAACAGCTGCATGCTTTACAACCATGGATGTGTAGTATGGCCGCCATACGCAGTGTAGCCATGCTTCAGAATAGTCTCGACATGACAGTGATTAAACCCCAGTGGGCAAAACAATATTTTCTCTATCAACCATTATTATATCTCAATAATGCACCTCAAACCACAATGCAAAAAACGACATAGTATACTATTTGCCAAAAAAACACATACGTTTTCAATTTCAGGAATAAACAACATAGTACGCTTAGTGGAAAAACGCCATGCTACATACATATGTCGAAAATGTCAGGAAAAAAAACATAATATAGAATGTCGAAATTTAAAGAAAAGGGACAAGTTTATAGTTGGTCATGTAGTATGTTGAAAATATCAGAAAGAATGTCTTACATTTAAGAAAAATACCACATAGTATAGTTTGTCCAAAATATGCATAAAAACGTCCTACAGTATACCTCAAAATGCAAACATGCTCCACAATGACTCTTTTCATTCAGAACCTTTGATCCATGGAGGTTTTGAAATCTGTAATATATACAAAATAACTCAATGGTTTTCTGGCCCATTGTCCTTTATTCTCTGCTTATTCATTTGGTTGGTTTTATCTGGTACACAAGATGCTATTTGCATTGTTATTATTTTGGTCATCTCAAACAAGTGTGTTCTTTCCCAGACTTAGTGGTGTAGAAGTGCATCCTATCCCCTACGCACTGTAGAAGTGCATCCTATCCCCTACGCACTGTAGCAGTGCATCCTATCCCCTACGCACTGTAGAAGTGCATCCTATCCCCTACGCACACTGTAGAAGTGCATCCTATCCCCTACGCACTGTAGAAGTGCATCCTATCCCCTACGCACTGTAGAAGTGCATCCTATCCCCTACGCACACTGTAGAAGTGCATCCTATCCCCTACGCACTGTAGAAGTGCATCCTATCCCCTACGCACTGTAGAAGTGCATCCTATCCCCTACGCACTGTAGCAGTGCATCCTATCCCCTATGCACTGTAGAAGTGCATCCTATCGCCTATGCACTGTAGCAGTGCATCCTATCCCCTACGCACTGTAGCAGTGCATCCTATCCCCTACGCACTGTAGAAGTGCATCCTATCCCCTACGCACTGTAGAAGTGCATCCTATCCCCTACGCACTGTAGCAGTGCATCCTATCCCCTACGCACTGTAGAAGTGCATCCTATCCCCTACGCACTGTAGCAGTGCATCCTATCCCCTACACACTGTAGAAGTGCATCCTATCGCCTACGCACTGTAGCAGTGCATCCTATCCCCTACGCACTGTAGCAGTGCATCCTATCCCCTACGCACTGTAGAAGTGCATCCTATCCCCTACGCACTGTAGAAGTGCATCCTATCCCCTACGCACTGTAGAAGTGCATCCTATCCCCTACGCACTGTAGCAGTGCATCCTATCCCCTACGCACTGTAGCAGTGCATCCTATCCCCTACGCACTGTAGAAGTGCATTCTATCCCCTACGCACTGTAGAAGTGCATCCTATCCCCTACGCACTGTAGCAGTGCATCCTATCCCCTACGCACTGTAGCAGTGCATCCTATCCCCTACGCACTGTAGAAGTGCATCCTATCCCCTACGCACTGTAGAAGTGCATCCTATCCCCTACGCACTGTAGCAGTGCATCCTATCCCCTACGCACTGTAGAAGTGCATCCTATCCCCTACGCACTGTAGCAGTGCATCCTATCCCCTACGCACTGTAGAAGTGCATCCTATCCCCTACGCACTGTAGCAGTGCATCCTATCCCCTACGCACTGTAGCAGTGCATCCTATCCCCTACGCACTGTAGAAGTGCATCCTATCCCCTACGCACTGTAGAAGTGCATCCTATCCCCTACGCACTGTAGCAGTGCATCCTATCCCCTACGCACTGTAGCAGTGCATCCTATCCCCTACGCACTGTAGCAGTGCATCCTATCCCCTACGCACTGTAGCAGTGCATCCTATCCCCTACGCACTGTAGAAGTGCATCCTATCCCCTACGCACTGTAGAAGTGCATCCTATCCCCTACGCACTGTAGAAGTGCATCCTATCCCCTACGCACTGTAGAAGTGCATCCTATCCCCTACGCACTGTAGAAGTGCATCCTATCCCCTACGCACTGTAGCAGTGCATCCTGTCCCCTACGCACTGTAGCAGTGCATCCTATCCCCTACGCACCCCGGAGTTGTAAAAAAAGCACAAAACTTCAGCGTATTTCTGAATCCGTGTTAAAGCCTCAATGAATCTGCCGTATACCAATGTGTTAAAGCTTTTCTTTATGGTCCTTCCTCAGTGGGTTCCCAGGATGTCTTCGAAGGCGCACAGCTCCAACAGCATCGCCCACGCCCGGCGGACGGTGCAGCAGCTGAGGATAGAGGCGAGCATCGAGAGGATAAAGGTGCAGCCATCTCCCTATTCTAAAGTCACTTTCAGCTCTTTTCTGTCATTTCCTCCCTTCTTGCATATCTAACTACTATGCTAAATGCTACTTGTGATGTTATAGAGTTCGTTCAAATATCACTCACTTACAAACAAATAATATCCAAATAATGACCACAAAGGAACGATGAACATTTCTTAAAAAGAATGAACCATGTGGCAGATGTAGGGAAGGTCTTGGTTCTAATTGGCTGTCCCTGCTCTGAGCATTTTGGTATATATCGCATAAAATAAGATCTGTAGCAAACACATCTTAGCACGTTTTGTTCAGCAGGATAATCTCCACATATTAACACCACTTTGGGATTTTTGAAGTATAAATGCGATCTCCAGAAGTAAAAAGCAAACTTTAGGCTATAAAGGAAGTGCATCACGGTCACATGACTTCACTTAACGTCACCACCGCTAAGCTAATCGCTGCTAATGTTTGGCCTGATGACATTTAGTCGTTAATTTACTCCCTTTTCAAGACATAGAATCTATTGACATCGACCAGTACAATATTGGCTGACAAGTTTTATCTTATATAACAAACGTTAAGATCTGGCAAGCTTGAGTTAACCCATCCAAAAAACCCTTGACTTTGAGAAGAGGGAACCAGAAGCGCTAAAATGCTAACTCAGTTCCAGGTTTTAGGACTCATTCCACACCACTCTTCTTGGGTTGGGTTCTTAACTCTTTCTCCCTGTGTTTGTGCAGGTCTCCAAGGCCTCTGCAGACCTCATGAACTACTGCAGTGAACATGCCAGAAACGACCCCCTCCTCATGGGCATCCCCACCTCAGACAATCCCTTCAAGGACAAAAAAACCTGCACTATATTGTAGTGGATGCCACTTAGCCTTTATGTGTTTTATTGTGCTTATTAATGTTGCTGTACTCTTTTGTTGGGATAAGTGCGGGGGGGATGGTATCATTACGTTCACATCTTCTCTGAGCAGGGTGTGAGCTCCACTAACTGGGAGACTTTGCTGCATAACTTAGCGTCCTCCTCAGTGATGCGTTTGATTCTTCTTAATGTGTGTAAACATGTCTCCTATTCATTCCACAGTGACTGTTTCTGTCTCTCTTGCCTTAATGGATTCATACAGCCAAAGCTTCCCTTCAGAATCTTAAATACTTTTTAATTTAAGGCGAGACACAAACATTTCTCATGCTCTTGTCAATTTTTGATTGATTGTTTTTCTCTATCATGTATCTTTTTAAAACATTCAAAATACACATTAAGATCATTATTTTACCCTTTCTGAGTATGTGGATTCCTCCTAAATTCACCCAAAGTTAGCATTTGATAACGTCATTATTTTTGGCATATTTCTACATACACTTTCCGAACAACTTATAATACAAAATACAATTGTCTTATTGTATGTGAATATTTGAGGAAGTCTCATACTGATATATATTAGTTTCTAGATATTACTGTCACCTGCAAAGGCCAAAACCACTGTGTCCCTCCCCTGCCTGAAAAGCCTGCTAGCATTCCAACACATTGTAAGTGATAGGCTAATAGGCCATCTCTAAGCGGTTGACCAATCATTCATAGCCTGATTTATATCAAATGTTATTCCAAAACTCCCAGTAAAGAAATCTTGAATTTTGAATGGCTGGCTTTATCAAAGGCTATTTGCATATTTCACATATCATTTCGAAACAATCCACCTGTAGTGTCTCGCCTTAAATGAATAATAATGGTTCAGACTTCCCATCAGTGTTTTAGGGATGATGTGCAGTTTAGCCGTTATTCAAATGTTACCATGAAGTATCTTTGATTAATGACAGTGCTAGTAACACTCAGTATTCTGCATCCTGGCTCTGACTGGTCACGATAATCCACATGCTGTTTAACCCCCCATGTTCCTAACAGTTGCAGTATGCACCATGATACAGTGTTGTCTTAAACTGAGTTAATGACCATTCTGAGACATTCATTCCATATCAACATCTTCAATCCAAGAACATCTGCTCAGATTCAAGCCATTGGGATGATATGACTGTGTTGTCAGCTGCACAATATGGAGTGAATGAAGCAACAATGAAAAAGCTTGCGCACATTCTTTTATAATTTTGTAATGAAGACCCCCGAGAACCAATCCAAACCAATTGTACTGCATTTAAAAAACGAGTGGTGCAGTAATGAGTACTAAAACCTGGAAATGAGTTAGCATGGTGATGCACAGTCATACCATAGCAACCCAGTCTCACGGCATTTCGTGTTATAGTCACGAAATTAATCTATTGATTCGTGTTCACCAACACGATTTCCCCATTTTTTTCGTGTCACACAGAACGATTTTAAAAGCAATGTAAATAATAACAAATTAGAAGGAAAAAGACATTTAAAAAAATACAGATTTAAGTATTCTGACACAGAACGATTTTAGAAGCAATGTATTTCTATTGGTAGTATGTTTCGTGCCTGCACCAAATAATAACAAATTAGAAGGAAAATAAAAAATACAGATTTCAGTATTCTGAGGCTCTGAGCCATTTCTTTTCCTCACGGACGGCAAAAAAAGTCTGACATTATACAATTTAAAATAAAAACAATAATGGTGGCTTGATATTGAGTAAGAAAATGTTTTTATGAACCACACAGCTTCTGGTCTTCCAAGACCCGACCGGACAAAAAGACGTGGTGCAGGCACGAAACATACTACCAATAGAAATACATTGCTTTTGGGGAAAAAAATGGGAAAATGGTGTTGGTGAACACGAATCAATAGATTACATTTATTTCGTGACTATTACACGAAATGCCGTTAGACTGGGTTGACCATTGTGATGTAGTTTAATTATAGCCTAGCATTAGCTTTAGCTGATAGAATTGACACTTCAATAATCACAAAGCAGTGTCAATATGTGGAAATGATCCTGCTGAACAAAGTGTGTTAGTATCATAAAGGAGCCACAGAGCTTCTTTTCTGCATTATAGCAACATCTAAAGGAAAAATCCCATTGCTTTTTGTTAAGGCAGCGCTTTGCGATGCTAACTTCCGGGTCAGCCTTCAAAAACAGGTCATCACTGCACCACTACAGGCGTCTGAATGAGGCTATTTGTAGCTGTTCCTGCTAGATAACTTTCTGTGGTACGATATTTTTGGGACACGCAGCACTGTGAGCTACGCTAAACTTCAGTGTGGAGCGAATGTGCTATCCTAAAGTGTTTTTGGCACAAGTGTTGTAAAGGTACAGGCGCATTCGTAGTGTGCATTAATGACAACAACCACTCTCCCAATTCTGCTCTTGAATTTGAAACGTGTGTCGGTGCAGGTGTTCAGACTAACATGTTGTGATTCTCTGGGTGACATGTGACAGAAACATTTAGAATTTCTTACACTTTTAAGCCTTACTTATGTTTGCCTTGTATTATAAAGAACTCTCCTCCCGGAGTACTTTCTTAAAAAAAAGTTCTTATCAAATGTGTCTACCTGTGGGAGGATGTGTAACACCACTGTGCCATTTGTTTTGGTCTACGTGTCACTAAACATGTTTTTCTGTGTTCCCCTCGCCTGGTGCTCCACTCTTCAGTATCCTTATTCTCTTTTTAACCAGTGGGGTTTTTTATGATTGTCTTTTCTTACTTGCAATAAATAAATCCTACATGCCTCTTAAAGAAAAGCTCAGATCACCACTGCCATGTCGTGATGTTTCTGTCCATTCAGCGACTCCGTAACGGCCTTACTGCACCACTGATAGATGCATTTAACCGTCAAAATCTGACTTTTGATAAATGTCTTGATTAATATACCGATGTTTGTATGACGACTTACCTGAGATGTATAAAGAGAAGCATTCCTACAGTTCTATGCTGTGCTAATATCTCAATAAAGATGTCAGAAGAGGACCACTGCTGCCTGTTTTCTTTCTGTGCCCTCAGAGTTTCTCGGGCCACTTCCTCTCATTAGCCTTTATTTATATCTGCCACAGGAAGGCAGAGACACCGGGCCTCTCAGCGGCTGTCAGAAGGAAAGCAGAGAACACAAGAAGGCTCAAAATAGAACGTACCAAACCCTGATTTCCGCTCTTGGAGAGTAGAGAACTATTTTGGGTGAACGTCTTTCGGGAGCGTGGTTCCTTCTCGCTGGTGGCCGCTCTGACCTTGCTCCTGGCCAGCTGCTGGACAAACTGCTTGTTAAATCTCTCCTGCACACAGTTGGAAGATCACACAGGAATAATACTCATTGTCACATCTGCAGAAACACTGAATAGGACATGATGGCTCTCACACTTCAATCAGACTAATGATGAAAAAGCATTGTCACCTATTCTTCATTGTTTAGGACTTACCATCCTTTTGCTATTTTCTCACAGATTGTGCTGTTTTACTGGAAGATCCCTGCAGGAACAGCCAGGTGCATTAGCATTGTGTAGACGGCAGAATATTTTTTATTGAATGTCAAAGATCAGAATCAGGTTTTTTTCCATGAAGCATACAAGGAAATTGTGTTGGAATCAGAATCAGAAATCCTTTATTTGTCCCACAGCTGTGGAAATGTACAGCGTTACTGCATCAGTGACATATCTACGGGGGCCGACATGTGCGCTACAACGGCCCAAAACATTTCCATTAGGAGAAACACACTGCAGTTTAAAAAATGATGCAAACATAAAAACACAAATGTTTCAAAACACATACACATGAAGTAAATATCTTCAGCAACTTGACAACACATGCACAGTGTTTACTGAAAGCGCTGCATAAACAAAACGCTGCTAGAAGCTCAAAACCCAAGGTAAACGGGGACACTAAAGAGTGACGCACACAGCTGGGACCGGAGCGCTTGCTGGTCAGACATTATGACGATGGCAACTGTCACTGGAAACGTAACTACGTAATATGTACGTTTAATCGGCTTATTTTAACCATGTCATGTGATTCATTCCGATATTTTAGCAGAATTTCTGGGAAGCTAGCTGACAGTGACAGATACCAACTTTATAACCCCGAACATCAACAAGTGCTCCTAAGCAGATTAAAGGCAAATATTAAAAGAGTAGGCTAACATATTAAATATAGAGACGAGCATTAACATTTTCTATTAAAAAAATAATAAAAATAATTTAAGCAATTTTACATTAAAGAAAATAAATGTATATATTAACAAGGAATTTAAATATTAAAAAAAAAACTAAGTACCGTAAAAATATGAAAGAAATATAGTGTATTAAAAAATAAAAACAGTGGAGATTGGGGAGTTGTGCAGATGACCATCTCACACACTGAAAAAGAAGTCAGAGTGCATGCTTTAAGGTAACTTTTGAAACCAAAAGAGGTATTTCTCTGATGCCCCAGCGTGGAACAGTCTGCTGGGTTTCTCTGTGTCTCTGGTTCTGCAGGCAGGTTTCCACAGAGGCTCATGGTCAGGGGTTCTCACATTGCTGCACAATGACACACTGGGATTACTGCACAGGCTGGGGGGGGGGGGGGGGGGGGGGCATGCTTCTGGCCTTCAGAGGCATTACAGTGTCAGGGTGTTGGAATGTGCTGATGAGGGGGAGAGGAAGGGGGGTCCGAGGGGTGGGCGGGAGTGCAGTGACACCTCTGTTCCTCTGGTGGGCTCAGCGGGTGTAGATAAAAAAGCATATCTATAGATGCACAAAGAGTACTTAGTTAAGGTTGGAATTAAGTACCATTTTGAGGAACTTAACTGGAGTATTTATACTTTTACTTCACTACAGCCTCTAGTTACTTTGCTTTGACTTTAAAAAAAAAAAATGTTATAAAACATGCTGCATTACTTCATATTAAAGGTGGGGTAGGTAATTTTGGAGAAACCAGCTCGAGATCGCTAGAATTTGAAAATACACAGCCTGAAGAAATCTGCCACTTCCTTACAGAGCCCCTCCTCCAACACACACTAACGCGCACATGACCAATGAGGGCACGAGATAAGTTTGTGCACAGATGGAAGGCTGACAGGCAGGTAGGCCATCCAGTTATTTTAGCCGGGCTGGCTAAAATGATTGGTCGTGCTTTTTACAGTACTACGGCTTCCACAGATGACATTTTTTTATGGATTTTTTGTCAAAGCACTTAAGATATTCATTGCTATCGGGATGTTAACAGCATTCCATGGAATATAACAAAAAGTGTATCTCGAGCCGGTTTCTCAAACTTACCTACCCCACCTTTAAAGACCCTGCATAAAAGATTTATACATTTGACATTTTGGCCTTTGGGAGCTCTGTGGTATGACTGGTAAATGGGCCACTTTATACTTTACTAATTGATTGAGTACTCGATTCTGTTATTGCAACCTTTTGCTACGTGTCCATTGCTATGGACAGAAACCATTTCGGACCACAGCAAGGCATGTTTTTTAAGAAGAAGAAATAAAATCATTTTATTGTATAAAAGAAATAGCTTTATTCAATATTTGGGTCGAACTACTGTTAACTTTAGTAATTAGTAGTGTGATAAGCAGGATAATGTACAGCGAGTCAACTGTAAAATTCCCTCAGTATGATTCCACACTGCTCATCCTGTCAGTGTTCATTTCGTAATAATGCAGTATAATTGCAGTGAATGAACCCTTATTTACATGTACATACTTTTACTTGGAAATTTACCCAGTATTTTACGATTTAAATATTTTTATTGTAACTTAAATTAAGGATCTTGAAACTGCTATCACGACCATTAATGAGTATTTGTAGCAACAATTGCAAAATGTAAACCCCGCCCTTAATTGGAATGTGGATTATATTTATACTATATTGTTCAGCTACATTTTCATTAGAGAATTAATTTATTAAATATTTAGATTTCACAAGGATGTTAGGACATTTGAAGGCTACGCTCAACTACATTTCAAGCAATACATTTGTAAAATAAAACTTGCAGATTATTTTATTTGCAGATGTAGAATATATAACTTGTTACACACATGGAAACATTTATTGAATGGTAAATGTCGCCTTCATTCTGCAATACTGTTATCTTAACCT